ATTTCTTAGTGAATATCGGATGGTGTAACATCGAAACCTCCATAAATTTGCGCTTAATGTGATGAAAGACAACCGGTTCAAAACTGCCCCACCTCCATCCTTGGTTCTTTCTCAGCACCCGAGCAACGGTGCTATAGTTTCTGAGTAATCCTCACAAAACCGAGATTCATAATTTAGGAGCCTCAGAAATGCCCTCAAAGCTTTGATATTTCTTGGCGCGGGAAATTCCGCTATGGCTCTCACCCGATCAGGATCTAGCATGCATCCCTCTGACGTTAAAATATGACCGAGAAACTTAATTTCCTTTGCTGCAAACCTACACTTCCTCAGTTTCGCCGTAATTTTATAACTGTGAAATTTATCGAAAATAGTTTTCAAATGTTTCAGATGAGTTTCTGGATCATTTGAAAATATCAAAATATCATCAACATACGCTAACATATATATTCATCTCCTTTATTCCTTAACACGCAATTTAACCCCATATGTTCGTCCCTCAAATAAAAAACCTGTATACAGGGTGTTTCAGTTTATTGTTGCATAACTATAAGATTCGATAGAACTTCTAAAATTAATGCTAAAGTCTATATAAACATGGGTCGAAAAATGCGTGGCATCCGAAATACAGGGTGTTTAAATTTACTTTCTAAAATAGTTTTTTTTAATATTTCGAACAATATTTCATGTATAACAGTGACAACTGGTATACAACGGTTTTTTGGTACGACAAAACGAACCATGGACATAGTTTTACTGTACCCGCTAGAGGGCGCTCTCTACTGTACCTGTAGTGTATTAAAATGACCGAAATTTTTTTTTGTACTATTTTTTCCTTTTTGAATAAAAAAACTCATTCTTCGCACTTTTCTGCATAAAAAAGCTCTCTTGTGATTTTTTTTTTATAGTTAGCCGTTTTTGAGATATTTCGATTTTTAAGGTTCGATGCATTTTTAACTATTTATGATAAAATAACGTTAAAAAGTCAGTATCTCGATAATTTTTAGAAGTAGGCTGTGCCTGCAAATATTTTTTAAATTGAAAGTATGCGGTTCGGGAAAGAAATTTTCAGCATGAATTTAGTGTGAACGTGTGGATTGGTATCTACCGTAATCCACTATTTGGACCCTACCTTTTGCCTGCAAGGTTAAATGCTGCGACCTTCTTGGAATTTTTAAAGGCTGAACATGCAAATATGTGGGATGATGTTATGTTAGATTTAAGAAGATTGGCCTGGTTCCAGCTTGATGGTTGTCCAGCTCATTATTCGAGAACAGTTAGAAACTGGCTGGACAAAAATTACCCAGAAAGATGGATCGGCCGTGGAGGACCAGTCGCCTGGCCTCCACAATCCCCTGACCTAAATCCATTAGATTTCTTTGTGTGGGGATTTCTAAAAGAAAAAGTGTACCAGACTCCCGTAACCACAAGAGATATGCTAATAGACAGAATCAGGAATGCATGTGATGAAATAAGGCCTTATTTGAATAATGCTATACCACGTTCGATCATTCGTAGATGTGAATTGTGTATTGAACAGTTGGGTTTACATTTCAAGCAACTACTTTAGATTTTGTATGTTTGTCCTAACTATCCAATAGCATTTTAGTTGTAAATAATTAATTTAATTTGTTAAAAATAATATTGGAAAATTAAACAAATTAATGTTCTGTTTTTTTGTGTTTATTTGGAGTTAGGAATTAGTGCTGTGTTTAAAAACACAATCTAAACGATCATCTTAATAACTTGTAATGCCCAAATCGAAAATGTAAAAAAAAATATTTTCCCATTATGTTTAAAAGTGCGAAGAATCAGTTTTTTTATTCAAAAAGCAAAAAATTGCACTAAGAAAAAATTTTCGGTCATTTTAATACACTACAGGTACAGTAGAGAGTGCCCTCTAGCGGCTACAGTAAAACTATGTCCATGGTTCGTTTTGTCGTACCAGAAAACCCTTTTATACCAATTTTCACTGTCATACATCAAATATTGTTCGAAATATTTAAAAAAAACTATTTTAGAAAGTAAATTTAAACACCCTGTATTTCGGAAGCCACGCATTTTTCGACCCATGTTTATATAGACTTTATGCATTGATTTCAATGGTTCTATCGAATCTTAAAGCCATGCAACAATAAACTGAAACACCCTGTAGATATTCTAGAAATGGAAATGGCCGAACCTAGAAATAGAAGTGGAAATCTAGCTCAGGTAAGAGAAAATCGGGGAGAGAACCGTGCTCAGGGTCAATGGAATCGCGACGGGAGTAGGCATGAAAATTCCAGTTGGCGAAACAGGAATGAGGAAAGGAGTAGAAACGTCAGAAACACGGAAAATTAGGATCGTCCCGAAGTTTCGACAAGGCATATGGACGAAATCTTAACGAAAAACGAGTCAGTGGTGAAACAGGTTCCGGTATTGCCGGTTGTAACCGCAAAAGTAGAAGGTATTCCGACACAATGTTTAGTTGACTCTGGTAGTCAGGTTACGGGTGTTAGCGAAACGTTTTTGGTGGAAATAATGAAAGGAAAAGCGAGTATCCCAAAGTTTCCATGCAAGTGAGTTACTTTGATGGGGGCTATAGGCGCCACATCAACAATATAGTCAGGTGTACCTAACCTTGGAGTTGGAGGGTCACACATTTGAATATAGCCTTTTGGTCATACCGGCACGGTGCCTTGAAAAGTGACATTATGCCGATTTTTTTTGACATTATGCTGTTTTTTTTACATTATGTAGGTTTTTCGCCAAGGCGTTGACTTAGCACTTAGTTGTACGTATTGCTCAAACGCCATGAGGCTTGTTGTCAATCTTTGGCTCTGATGTGATGTAAAATCTGCTTCTGAGATGGCATTACTGGAGGTTTAAGCTGTAAGTCATATGTGTTGATGATAATTACATTAGGTTACATTAGAAATTAGTTGCGCATCCACTTTTTCTTATCCATTCTGGAAAGTACATATACAAATTTGCTCGATTTAAAAAAATAGAGAGATAAGAAATAATTATATTCACTGTACACTGTCGAATTACAAGCCATATACATGCTAACAGTAATTACACACAATGTGGGCGCGGTGATGATTTCCCGTAATTCTCCTCAGTTTTTCGCAATTTATTACTTTGAACATAACCTCTCTCTAGAAAGCACAACTTATAAATAATCCGTCGTATTCAGCATATTTAGTAATGATTTTCTCACACAGCAAATATCACTGATTTTATACACATGCAGACCAATACTCATAATCATCCAGATGCGATCTTGTTACTCAACCAACTTTCTTTTCAGAGATAAAAACTACAGACACGGATCAAAGGTATGCAACCAATAATGCGTATTTTAGTTGAGTGATTCCTTCATAGATGGACGTTCACGACGATCCTGGTGAGCAAACGTGGAATGACTGTTTGCGCCCTAAAAACTACCTAGTCTGCAAGTTAACATCTTATTTTTTTTGACATTTTATAGGTCTTTTACGTGATACCCGGGCCGGTCCTTGATACTAAAAGAAACGATACCGTTCGGATTCAACTATAGCCACTATCGCAATACGGATCCCCGTACTAACAGGTTCAATTTCAGTGACTCCAAACGAGTCACGATCTGCAAGATACTAGTTAAGGTGTGTAGTTTGAAATATGGATGGTTTCTGAATACATGTTAAGATGTCAAACTTATCGCAGTCGATGAAAACGAGCGGGTATGAGAGGTATTGAACCATACTGAGGAATAGGCGATAAAAGGTTTAGTGGTATAGAAGAAAGTATAGAAGAGAGAAGTAAAGTATTTCAAGCAGCAAAACCTCTTTTAACGATGACAATGGGAGCATTTAGCCAACGTCAAGCGGTACAACGGTGTAAAGCTTTTAAGCTGAATAGGCTCAATAGCAGCATCGTTGGAATAGCGTTGACAGTTCGCAAATCACTACACTTTTTTTTTTTTACGTTTTGTAGGTTTTTTACATGATACCCGTGCGGAGCTCATCAGGAACATTATCTTGGGCTGCGACTGGTAAAGTGATAATGGAATTAAGACCGATTTCGGTGACAGTAAGTTGAATGGTCAAATTGATGATGTCAATTTTGAGTATACGTTCAGGTGTGATAGTACGGGGGATGTTGGATTAATAGTCAGCGAAATTGATGCTGAAAATGATGATGTTATAGATGTGGGGGGTCACCGTCAAAAAATGATAGAAAACTATTCAGAGAAAGAAATTAGGGAAGTAGTTGATAAAGCAGAGGAGTTGAACCCAGATAATGTCGAGTTATTGTATAAGCTGTTATTAGGATATCAGCCAATATTCTCTGATCAACCGGGATTGGTCAGTTGTTATTCGCACAAAATGGAGATGCATGATGAAACGCCGTTTATGCAGAAGGGTTATCCGGTACCGCGAGTGTACAGGGATGAGGTTAGGCGTTAGGCGACATATTAAAGAAATCTGGACTGGGGGGTTATCACTCCATGTCAGACGGAATATATCAGCCCGTTGGTTGTTGTTAAAAAACACGACGGTTCAATCCGTGTTTGTTTAGATGCAAGGTTTATCAACTCACGCATGCATAAAGACCATGTCATGCCGCCAAATCCGAATGAGTTGATTTACGAATTTCAAAAAGGTCAGGTATTTTCAACACTAGATATGACGGCCTCGTATTGGCAAATTCTGTTAGAGCAAGAATCGCGCAAATACATATACGTCTCAAATAATTCTCTATATCCTCGACCGATTGATATCTCAAATTTATCAAACCCCTACGTATATCCGGTGGGACCTAGCCTGTCACAAGTGGCAATATCTCGAAAACTAGAACATTTTTACTAAGGTCATGCTGATTCTATCGGATTGATATGCAACCAATCTACCTCCCGTGCCACTCTGGTTATATCTGGAACACCCTGTATTTTTTTTGGAGCTTGAAGGAATACATCCTAAGTTCACGCCTTACTCATTTATTGCTCTTTTCCTTACATAAGGGTGCAGAAGAAAAAAGCTCCATGATCGACTCAAAAACGAACTTTGTCCAACAGTTCATAAGGTCGCGCTGAGCACCGGAGACCGGAGATCCTTAACCCTAACACTGTACACCCTACTCCAAGCAATTTCAATCTGCAAAATCAAAAGGGATTATTCGAAGGCATTAAAGAGAATACGCGAACAAAAGTAAATAAACCTCGGCATCTTCTCAGCAGCCGGAACTTTTTTTAAGTGGGTCGGCCCAGTTTTGCAAGTATTTGCATAAGCCCGGAATAATGTCTTTTTTCTTTACTCCGAACTACGGGTAACCGGAAAGTCGGATTTAAAAGACGTAGAGGATTTTTTAAGTTACAGTTTTGGTCGTCGGTATTATTAAAATTAAATTTCCAGATGTTCATCGAACGAACAGCAATTAGGAGAGGAATCTATCGAGAGACGTTCAAGATTACACGCTGTACTTAAGGGTGAAACACTTCTTTATAAGTAAATTATACCAGTAAAATATGCACCAAAGTCTACAGATCATCAAGTCAAGTTGCAAAGAAATCTGGACTGGCTGAAAGAATATGATGTGGCGCCTGTATACACCCAAGACGGCAGCTTGTTGTGTAAACCGAGCTGTTTAATTACATATCGAATTTAAAAGTGGAGCATTTCTACGTATAAAAATAGCGAACTTTTCGATTTGGTGTTAGTTCACGGTTAGTTCCTTCGTTATAAAATGGTGCCGGTTATACAGGGTGCGGCAAAGAGGACGGACGTTTTTGGGATGGGTGGTACTCTCCGCCTCCGTCTACGAGAGAGGTGGGGAGGGTGCCGTTTGACTCGTGAGATACTAGCATTATTTTATCAGTTGTCGTTATGGAGCCTTGGACGGTGAAGCACCGCGTTTTCGCCTATGATTGTTTCGTCCGAAATAATGAGTCAGTCACCGTCGTACAGCGTGAGTTTCGTCGCCACTTCAACATTCATCGGAATAGAGCTGTTCCCTCTCGAAACACCATCCTTCGTTGGGTTGAATCACTTCGCAGGCGTGGTGAACTGATCAACAGAAGACCAAGATGAGCGCCGCGAACAGTTTGAACTCATGAAAATGTTGAACGCGTTCGACAGGTCTTTCTTCGCAGTCCAACTCGACCTGCCCGGAAACATGCTGCTGCATTTCGCCTTAGTGATCGTTCGGTAAGGCGAATTTTGCATGTGGATCTCTGCTTTCACCCCTACAAATTGGCCATTGTGCTACAGTTACAGCCCGGAGATTATGCACAACGAATGAACTTCGCACGTGAGATGGAAGCACTGATTGATCAAAATGATAACCTCATTTTGTTTATGAGTGACGAAGCCCACTTTCACCTAAACAGCATGGTTAACCAGCAGAATTGTCGTTATTGGGCTAATGAAAATACGCAAGAGTTACACTAAAGACCGCTACACAGCCCAAAAGCAACGGTTTGGTGCGTTGTATCGCAAACTTGCATCAATGGCCCTTACTTCTTCGAAGAGGGTAATGGTCGTGATGTTACCGTGAACTCAGAGCGCTACATCGACATGATCAGCAACTTCTTTCTCCCTGAATCCCCTACAAAATCCAACCCGTACGTCCTCGAGTTCGTTCTGCGGGGCGGCCTTGGGCGCTGAACCGTGTGCGAACGTGTAGGGGGGGCAACGGGGTGCCGGTCTTGCGGTGGACCGCCTCGATTAGTTTTTGAGGAGACCCGCCGGAAAGCCGGTAGCCCGGCCAATCGAATGATTCGTTGAGCCACAGGTGTCTCGGATGTATATCTGGGACGCCTGCAGCTCAACGGTCATCATGGGCAATGGTACGTTACCCAACCCAAGGTGTTAAGCGATTCCGTGCCGAGGGGTGCGTGGCGGTGGGGATGCACCGTCTTAAACGGAGCCTCTGGGACACCGGGCGACCTCCCAGAGTATCCAGCCTTGCGTCCGTGTAGGGGCACCGCGGACGTCGATCACCACTTCCCCTATACTCGTGGGAACGTTATGGAACCTAACGATAGAAAAAATAATAAAAAACCCGAGGCCCCCCCTACAGGGGACCCCGAACATCCAGGCGACCCCTCACCAGGGGACCCTGATCGTACTCTGACAGAGGAATCTGTCAGAAGCTTAGCGAGAGAGCTAGCGGAAAGGGTGGGCTCTCTAAAGATTAAGAAGAAGTCTCGGCCAGGTTCCGAAAGGAAAAGGGCTCGGAAGCGGAGAGAGGCGCAGATGACGGAGGGCTCGGAAGGTCGGGGCACCACTTCTGGGACCCCGGCTGGACGGACCCAACCGCCATCTGGGCTAGACGGTGCGCAATCCGGTGTGTCAGCGGAGACCCTAAAGCGGCCCGGTGACGGGAAGCGGCAGAGGTCTGCCGGTGGGACACCGGAGGGCGCATCCTCGCGGAAGAAGCCTCGCACTGCGACGCATGCGCAAATTAGTTATGCGCGAGCGTCCCAAGCGGGTCTCAGGGTGGCCGTCGTGTCCGACGGTTATCCTGGGACTCAACTTACTAATGTACAGGTGCAGCAGGTCCAGGAGGCGGTCAGTGTGCTGATAAATGGGATCCCAGATGAGGTGACCCTTCCCAGGTACATTGACTGCTACCTCTCTCGAGGGGCAGCCATCTTTGTCTGCGAGGACGAATCCTCTAGGGCATGGTTGGAGGCCCACGTGGGGGATCTGCGGCCGTGGGAAGGCGCAAGGCTCATTACGATGAGCTTTGGAGACCTTCCCATATACCACCGCGTGATGGCCTGGTTTCCGGGTCCCAACCTGGATAACGGGGTCATCACGAGGAGACTCAGGAGGCACAATCCTGGGACTTTTCCCAGCGCGTGGAGGATACTTGAGAGGAAGGAAGAGCCGATAGGTGTCCGACTTGTCCTCTCAGTTGATTCCCTAAGCTGGAAGGTCATTGTAGGTAACGGCAACAGGCTGTGTTGCGGTGGAAGTTCGGGGGTGTTTACACTCCTGAGCAAGAAGAAGAGCAGTGGAGCGGCACCTGCTGGAACTGGCCTGGCTCCAAACCAGGAGTCGGACCAGCCCAGACCGACGGGAGCTGTGGCGGTAGACCAGGCTCCTTCACAGGGGATGGGTCGGCCGGGTCAGCTCTCGCTGGAGCCACCGGAGGCTACGGACGTGGAGGCGGCGGGTCCAAGCGGGATATCCGCAGAAAACATCGTGGCGGACCCTGCGATGGATCTGGTCCCAGAGGAAAACGATAGCGACTCGGACGAGGATGGAATCCTGAACCGAGTCCGAGAACTCCTCCGTGGAAGCGGAGATGAAGGCGGCTGTGGCAGCGATGACTGCGGCGGCGACGGCGGTACGCCCGAATAGGGGTTACATACCGTCATTCGGGAAGGTGTAGGAAGGGCCTCTCAACATCCATGGTAAGTTTTAATTTCATCCAAATTAACTTACAACACTGCATAGCGGCTTCGAGGGCCTTTACTCAGGAGATCACTCGAGGCCGACATGACGTGGCTCTCATCCAGGAACCCTGGCTGAGAAACGGTTCAGTAAACGGGCTTAGTATACCGGGCTATACGCTTTTTAGCGATACTCCGGACACTAAGCCCAGAGCTTGCGTAATGACTTCCGTCAACTCATGGCAACTTAAAGAATTTACATTCAGAGACTTAGTTGCAGTCAGAATTAGATATAAGAAGGAAGGCAGTGACAGGGACTTGGTTGTCTGTTCGGCTTACCTTCCTTACGATTCAAGAGACCCTCCTCCGTCTAAGGAAATGGGGGACCTTGTCGCATTCTGTAGGGATTCTGGACTCGACCTTGTGATTGGATGCGACAGTAATGCCCATCACGTTGCGTGGGGCAGCTCGAACACCAACAGACGAGGCGAAGACCTGATGGAGTTTCTTGGGGCATCGAACCTTGAGGTTCTGAATGTCGGTAACATGCCCACTTTCAGCAATAGTGTAAGAGAAGAGGTTATCGACGTAACACTGAGCACGCTTAACTTAGCTCAGGACATCAGGGACTGGAAAGTGTCTCTAACACCCTCTCTATCGGATCACAGGTATATACTGTTCAAGACTGATGGAGAGATTCCGGATAAATATGCTCGGAATCCCAGGCATACTAGATGGGGGTCCTTTAGGGCAGACATTGACAGTAAGCTTGGAGCGGTCCCATACAGGCTTGGCAGGGGCTCTGACATAGAAGCAGCTGTCGAGTCTCTGAGCAGGGACTTGACGGCCGCATATGAGGAAAACTGCCCGTTACGCAAAGTACAAGGTAAGGGCAAGGCAACCTTCTGGACCAAAGATTTAGAGGATAGAAAACGAGCGGTGCACAAACTTCTTAGCAGAGTTAAGCACAGGAGAGGTTCTCCTCTATGGGAAGAATACAAAAAGGCATTGCAGGAGTACAAAAAGGAGATTAGAAGGGCCTCCAGAGAATCCTGGAGGCACTTCTGTCAGTCCATAAATGACATTCCTGCTACTGCAAGAATACACAGAGTCCTATGCAAAGACACTAAAGCAAGATTGGGATCTCTGCATGATCCCTCGGGAGGGAACACTACTTCCGAGGAAGATACTCTGAGGCTTCTGATGGATACGCACTTTCCCGGTTCCACAGTAGCGCGATCAATCACAGAGTGCATGCAGTTGCGCAGGCCCTCAAGGGAGGACTGGCGCACGGCAAGGGAGATTGTCACCTTCGAAAGGACGGTATGGGCAGTAGATTCGTTTGCCCCATACAAAAGTCCAGGTCTGGACGGCGTATTTCCGGCCATGTTACAGCAGGGACGGATTTCGGTTGTTCCTTACCTGTTGAATGTGTTTCGAGCATGTGTGGCCACGGGCTTCACACCTAGAAGTTGGCGGCAGGCTAAAGTGGTATTCATTCCTAAACCGGGCAGAGATAGATATACTGGCCCGAAGGATTTTCGACCGATTACTCTTTCATCTTTTGTGCTTAAGACCCTGGAAAGGATAGTTGATAGATACCTAAGGGATGGCCCACTGGAAAGGTGTGTCATTCATGCAAATCAGTTTGCATACCAAGCTGGAAAATCGACTGATCTGGCCTTACACAATCTGGTTGGGAGGCTGGAGAAGACTCTAGATCAGCGAGAAGTGGCACTCGTGGCCTTCTTAGAT